GAGGAGCTCAGCCTGCACATGCAGACTGCAGCACAGGCAGCTCCCTGAGCAGTGCGTGGCAGCACTTCGCCATTCACTACTGTCGTTGTGCATCAGGAAGAAAATTATTATGGAAAAAAAAACAAACTTTTAAACAAAGCTTAATATTTATTGCAATATTTCACCATATTGCAGGGCACAAAACACAAAGACTCATACTGTTACTCCAAGCATCTTTACTCCCCGGAAGCTTGACAAGAGTTTAAACACCAGTGCTGGTGCAGCAGGCTGCCATATACAGGTATGCCTGCTCAGCCGGACCTTGTCGTCTTGAATTTATTGTTGCTTTAGTCAAGATTTGCCAAAAGCTGCGGCTTCTCTCCAAGCTCCAGTATTAATTTCTCCTAAACATTTTTATCATCGGTTTCCCGAAAGGCATGGCGCAGATAGATTTGTGAATTGTGAAACCTGTATTTACAAAAAAAGGGAAACAAGTTTGTACATTACTTTTGTCAATTATACTGTCTTATACAGTACAATCCCCCCCCCCACACTGTGGTAAGTGGTGCCAATGGACTGAACACAGCCCAGCAGAATTAACCACAGCTGAAGGGGTAACTGAAATTAACTGGAGTAGCGAGAGCAGCTCCAGACTCCAGGCACCTGCACAGCGCCCCCCCCAGGAGAGTGGATAACGCCTCCCTGCTCCTGCAGTCTGACACAGTCTGGATCTCAGAGGGCACAGAGGTCACTCCTGTCACTGGCTCAGGGCACAGGCCCCGTTACATCGGCAAAACGGAATTACCATTGATAAACTCTCGCGATCCTGATATTGCATTCAAGAAATACTCTTGATAATCATGATTATTGTCTGTTACCTATAAGCATTAAATACAATAAACACAAAACTGGCATTCTAGTGCTTGTTAGCTCTGAACTGAATGAGTTCGGCTGCAAGAGCTTCACTGTCCTGAATGCACACAGCACATGGGAAAGGTCACAGTGGACTGAGGGTTACAGTGCCGAAAAGCCTATTTCTGCGGGGACCTCTGTAAGTCTCTTCTGTACCTAACTGGTAGTTTTCCTACGGCGTTTAAGGTTAACCTTGTGTCTAACCTTAAACACCTTAAATGTGTTTAAGGTTAGACACATTCACATTTCATGTAAGTGGTGAAAACGCATACGACCCCGGTTATTCAGATAAGAATCACGACGATCACGATCACCAACGAATGACAACTGATATAAGGACATTTTTGTCCCCCCCTGGTGGGTGCAATATTCAAGTATCAGCTGGTGTGCAGCGAGCGCTCCGAGTGTGACCCGGGCCTGCGCCTTTCTTCAGGCAACTAACTCACAAGGCATGTGCAAACGCCACACGGGTCAGGACGGCCTGCTCCCAGTCAGCCGAGAGTAGCCAACTGTCCGTGCAGGACCACCGGGGCCCACTCCAGTGCTCACTGCTCCGCGTCCTCCTCCCCGCTGCAGGGCTGCCTCTGGCAGGACGAGGGGGGCGTGTCCGGCTGCTCCTGACAGGAGTCCTCCGAGCAGCGGCTCGCCGTGGGCGAGATGATGTCGGGGCTGGAGGCGCCGGACTCCGTGCTCTGCTCAGAGGTGGCCGAGGTAGTGGCCGTGCTCGGGGCGATGTGGTCAAACTCGTCGTCGTCGTCCTCCAGGATGGGAGACTCGTGGACGTCTGCGAACATCAAACCCCAGAAAATTTTTAGAAGGGTTGTAAACGCAAGGTGGACAGTTTGGTTGCCAGTAGTAAGTTGATCACGGATTTCATCCATCCTAAAAGAAGGCAGACTATGAACATTCCTGGCTAGCTTGTTCCACCCTCCCACAACCCTTTGTGTAAGGCAGTGCCTCTTCTTCTCAGTTTTTCACATGCCTCCACCTAGTTTCCACTATTCACTATGCTATTTGTGAGCAGAGTGGCGCAGCGGAAGCGTGCTGGGCCCATAACCCAGAGGTCGATGGATCGAAACCATCCTCTGCTAGCTGTTTGGGCGGAGCGGTGGCTCTGTGGCTCAGGATCTGCGTCTGTGACTGGAAGGTAGCTGGTTCAAATCCCGCGGCCGGCAGAGGAATCCTACTCCGTTGGGCCCCTGAGCAAGGCCCTTAACCCCACCTGCTCCAGGGGCGCCGTACAATGGCTGACCCTGCGCTCTGACCCCCAGCTTCTCTCTCCCTGTCTGTGTGTCTGTGTCTCCTTGGAGAAAAGCTGGGGTATGCGAAAAGACAAATTCCTAATGCAAGAAATTGTATAGGGCTAATAAAGAAACATTAACATTATTACATTATGCCTCCTCTGTTCATTCTGAAATCCATGGAACAAATAAATGAAACAAAGCTGCTTATGAAGACCTCAGGCAAGCTTGGGACAAACCACCATGTGTGATAAAGCCCAAGGTAACAGAGTGCTACCACCTCTGTCCCCAAACCTAGAACCCAACAACAGGTACAAACGACAGGAGATCATTAAGCCCATCAAGACCATTGCGGTAAGCAGCTAACAGATCTAAGGATCTCTTTCAGTTGTTAAAAGAAAGACCTGCTATTATTAGGTATATTATGAGACCTATTTATTTCAGGACTCAAGGACATGAATCAGCCACATACTTGCATTCCAGCTTTCACTACAACAAACTGTGATACCAGCAACTCCCACAGGATGAGGGGAACTGACCCTTCTTAGGCTCTGTCTTTCAGGAGAGACTGACTTCCAAGGCTCTTCTGTCAGTGTCTCTGCACCAGCCTCAGCTCAAAGCACCAGCAGAATCCCTAATCCCGACTGTGGTAATCTCCATCAAGAAGCTAACAGCAGGGAGCCTACCACAGAGTAGGAGCATTTCAACTGAGGTGCTGCTGCTGCTGTTCCTGCACATCTGAGGCTGGTTTTCCTCCAGCAGAAAACATTACAGGGCAGCAAAATAAAATAAAGGATTTGCAGCTCTGGATCTCCCTCTCTTCATGCAACAAGTCTGCAAGGCAGTCTGACCTAGCACAGCTCCTAGCTGAGAAACGCTAAGGGCTCCCCCTTGAACAGTTACGTGCTTTTGTAGCGACTGCTACAAAATTAAAAAAATAATCAATACTTACTACTAAAGGCATCTGGATACTGCTTTGCAACCTTGCCCTTCAGTGTTCTGCAATTAAAAAATAAATAAAACAATAAGCATGATCAATAATCAATAGCCATTGTCATTAGGATGACATTTTTATGGAAAAAATATGCTGTGCTATTGAGAGCCCAGAGCGCGTACAGGAAGACTGGAGAGTCATGACCAGCCAAGGCTCAGTCCAAACCCACTTCATCACAGGCATATTTTATGGACTATTCTGAAAACCATTGAGGATTCACTCCTAATTACTCCCAAGCGCCTGATACACCATCACAAAAATGAAAATAAAGTTATCAGCAGCCTGGCTACATTTTCCAGCTTGATCTACCATGGTTTTTGGTGTGGGACCTGAAACTGTTTTATTGATTAATGGTACATGTGGCTTCAGCATTTCATTCTCTCAAACTTTCATAGACAGAAATCCACACCCATTTAAGAAGTTTGCTTCCTCACTTATACAGAGCTTTCCAAATATATTCAGACTATTCATGACATAGTTTTCACACTGCGGTCATGACACTTTTACAACCTACTCCACATATTGAAAGCAAAAAACAAAAAGTAGTAAGGAGATTATATATATTCTATGGTAAAAACAGATGCATTTATGTGCCCAAACCTACATTAGCAAGGTATTTTAGGTTAGTGGCCTCTGTGTGCCATATATTGGTTGTCATTCCTTCAGAATAAATACAACTGTCTGTGTCAGATAGTGAATTTCAAGCAAAGATTCAGCCATGAAGACCAACCATGAAGCATTCAAAACATCTCAGAGGCCCAGGTCTCAACAAGGGTATAAAACTTATCCGAGACCCTTAATATCTCTTGAGCGAGGTGATGAAGCTGATTATGAAGAAGTGAAAAAGCACACAGATACTGAATAGACCTGGCCTCCCCTCTAGGCTGAGCACCTGGGCAAGGAAGAAGCAGTTTAGATGCAACAGTGAGCCCGGCAGTGACTCTAGGAAAATGACAGGGTTCAGGGGCTGGGATGGCAGAAGATATTGATATCCAAGAATCAACAATATTCCAGTGACTCCACAGAGGACATTTCACATGAAAAACATTTCAAAACCCACAGAGTGTTTGCAACAAAGGACCTCAGTCAAACATGCAGAAAAAGATTTTGTGGCGAAATGAGGAAAAAAGTGGAACTCTGGTATCTAAATGCAAAGTATTTCATCTGGCACAAACCCAACATAGTGCATCACTCAGTCAACACCATGCCTACCGTCAAGCATGGTGACAGAATTATGTTATAAATCTGCTTCTCATCAGCAGGAACCGGGAAGCTTCTCAAGAATGATGGGAACATTATAATATCCTTATATCCTTGTGCTACTAAAGCCCTCTTCTGGACACTCCATCAAAGCACTTGACAGGCAATAAGGACTCCCCTACACCACCACCAGCAGAACAGTGACGGAGTACTGGAAAATCCTGGAGGAACACCCGCTTCAGGCCTAAAACCTGGGACAAAAATCCACCTTTCAGTAGGAAAATAATCCCAAGCACAAAGACAAAGCTCCCCTGGAGTGGCTTAAGAATAAGAAAGTGAATGTCCGCGAGAGGCCAGTCACAGTCCAGTCGGGAATGTGGAAAGCCTTGAAGACTGCGGTTCATAAGTGGTCCCCAAGCAAGTTGAGAGTGCTTGAAGAAATCTTCCAAGAAAAACGAGCACATATGCTGATGTGAGTTGGAAGAGACCCCAAAAGACTTGTGGCTATAACTGCTGCCAGTGGTGCTTCAAGCAAATATTGAGTTTTCAGGCAGAATATGT